ATCATCATCATCATCATCATCATCATCATCATCATCATCATCATCATCATCATTGTTGTCGTCGTTGTCGTCTTCGTCTTCGTTGTCGTTGTCGTCGAAGTCATTATCGTAACCATTACACTTAGCGTTGTTGTTTTTTTTCTTAGCATTGACCTCTACCTTTGTGTTCCGTAGTCACAGTTGCCGTCTGTGAAGGACCTTTTAAAAACTAAATCAGTACTATTTTGTACTTTTCCTTACCCATGAAAAGCGAATAATAATAGATCTAATAATAATCATAATCATAATCATAATCATAATCATAATAAAAATAATAGTGATGATTATGATGATGATAATAATAATCATAAAATGTTTTGATATAGTAAAATGTATACAATGTGGGACGGAGAAACACCAAGACAATGTGGGATTTTTTAGAGCATCCAAGCGGAAAAGAATGGAGAACCAAAATTGCCGACGTATGTTTAAGATCTGACACTTTATGACGATGATATTATAATACGATAGATAGATAGATAGATAGATAGATAGATAGATAGATAGATAGATAGATAGATAGATAGATAGATAGATAGATAGATAGATAGATAGAGTCACTTGCACAGCATAAATTGTCTCTCTGCAGAAAGTTCTGTGTGCTGTGCAACCTGTAATGTAGTACTTTCAATCAATGTTTTAATAATTAAATTCGTTTCTTCTTTTTCCACAGAGTTTTCTTAAGACGGGAAGTGACGGCGCCCTCTCGTGGCCGAACTCCATAAAAAGTCTACAAGAAGACTGAACGAAACGAAACTATGTCAATAGACATACGCCAAAGGACCCTCACAATTTACTGGGTCTTTACTATACCTTTGATGTGTCATCGAAATCGCACACCATGATTAAGATGCCAAATCGTTACTCCTGCACTGTAATCTGAACGATTTTGGCTATTTTAGAGACTATAACGTTTCCAGGAAAGGGGAAAAGATGGGAATTTTTATATTTATTTTTTTGGGGGGTGGGGGTGGTGTTATGGTTGAAGTATAAACATAGGACTAAATTTGTTTGAGAAAGAACTGAAATTCATGTCGATTATTATTTTTATTTGCTCATAGTTTTTGCTCTCTGTTCATCTCAGGACGGAAATAAACATCTATTCTTAACCCTTTGAGCATGTGTTTTGTTCTGTTGAGTTTGAAAATGTTCACAATTTCACGGAAGCCAAATGATTCGTTAAATTATTTTTTAAAACAATTTCTTACCACTACATGTATTTGCTTTGGCTACCGTCAGAGCAGCAATAGGAAAAGTATAGCAACCAAAACGCCATTGGAAGTAACAATACTAACAACAGTCAGGAGTACAATAAAACCAACGTAAAAACCACATAAAGCTAATATAAACAACAACAACAGCAACAACAACAACAACAACAACAACAACAACTACAGAAACGACCAAATATAAAAAACAGACACATCTGCAACAACAATAGAGATTTCTACAACAACAACAACAACTACAGAAACGACCAAATATAAAAAACAGACACATCTGCAACAACAATAGAGATTTCTACAACAACAACAACAACAACTACAGAAACGACCAAATATAAAAAACAGAC